CAGTCCTGTGCCACGTGCTCTAGGTGACCCTGCGTGTGCAGGGGGGTTGGACTAGATGACCTCTAGAGGTCCCTTCCAACCTTAAGCATTCTATGATTCTAAGATTCTATGATCTCCAGCTTTAAAGCACCATTTCATCCCACGACTTAAACTTGCTTGCTCACAGCACTTGCTCATGTTGCAAAGCAAGCACACAACCACCGTGATATTAAGATCATAAGCAATCCTAGTAGGAGTTGCAAGATCTCAGGAACAACCACGTCCTCATCACCAGCAACCCCAAACATGGGTCCAAACTGTGGCACTCAGGAGTAATCCAGACCATGTTAATTCAGGAACATTTCAGAGCTCATCAGGGATACGTGCCATTTTATGATAAAAGCCTGGTCTGTGGGTTGGAATTGATTCCGAGGCTCTCCTTCCTCTCCCACTCCCCATTAAAAAGCAAGTTACTTGCTTACTTGGGCAGTGGCTTTCCCAACAGGCAATAGTGAACATGTCTGTTTATCTATCAAATGGGAGACATTTAGCAGTTCTTCTTCTTCCTCCTCAACCTCCTTCTCTCAGGATGCTGTAAGCCCTGAAGGTTAATAGGAAGTGATTTTAATTTGTGAAGAGAAGCCTATGTGTAGCCTGTCTTCGGAGTCTCTTGTGCTTGCGCCATCCTAGGAAGAATTTCCCAAAGGACATTGGTGAGTTGCTGTGTTGATTCTTGTGACCTTTACCTTAAACTGAACCTTAATGTCTCCACCTGATCACGGATTCACTCTGCAAAGAGAAGTAGATTTCTCTCTTCTTCCTCATGCTGAGGCTGGACTGAGCTCTGTGCCCTGGGGCACAACCTCCCTTCTCTGTTCTCTCAGCAAATGGATGCTTTTGGACTCATCTCTCCCTATTCCTCATCTTCCTACAACAGCCTGCTGCCAGATTTACCAGACGACCTTTAAGAATGGCAAATTGTTATTTTATACTTTGCTGGTAATTTTCAATTTTACCTTTGAGAACTATTCTACTGTCATCTGCTTAATGCTTCATGCCAGATGCAGGGGATTTTCACTGGCATTTTCTGAGGGTTGGGGCTCAGTCTGGAAGCAAGAAAATGGCAAAGGAGGTTCAAAATTATTAATTTATAGCCGAATTTGCCATCTGACACAAAATCCCATAAGAATGACTCTCAAATCTCTCTTCAAACCTCAGTATCAAACCAAATCACCAAGCTGACAATCTCCTATGCAACTGAACTGTAATGCAGCACCACTGACTCTCACGAGGAATAGTCAGGAGGAGGCAATGTGTCCTCTCCACTGCAAGCTGGAACTGCAGATTTACTGCAAAGGAGGTGGGTAAAAAAAAGTTTTAAATGGTGGCAGGAGGAAGCAATTAGTTGAGCTTCGAAATAAGCAGTGGTATTTGCTCTCATATGCCAGCTGGCACATGCACGTGGAAAGCGCAACGTTTGGCACTGAAGACGATTCCCTGGAAAAGCTCATATAAAAAGCTCTGTTTCAAGTACTTGAGTGATAAGAGTTTCACTTCCATGGTAGTTCAGTGGAAACAAGAGGAATTGTTTTCCTCCTACATAATATACTGTAAATGAAAATTAAATTGATCACAATTCTCATACAAACACACATACACACAAGTTCAGTCTATTTTCCTCACAACCACTTTCCTGGCATAGCTGACACATATTCTGTATATCCAAAAGCCCCATCTGAATCATCAAAGCTACAAGTTATGAATGATTCTGGAGGGCAGTTGCCCAGGCAGAAATGAATCCTGCTCCAGCAGATCTTGGCAGGCTCTAGCAGTGAAAACTGTTTATGTTGGTTCCCTCAGGCCTTTATTCACGCCTTCCCTCTCCTACTCCATGGACCTATGGCTGGTCCATGCAGCCACAAACACATCCTGCTGTTTGCAGTGACCTGAATCCCCACCTGCATCCTCTTGGATTGACTGTCCATTTCCTGTCAAGCCAAATTCAGGATGTACCAATTTATCTTTCACAATTGATGGATGAAGGAAGATTATGTCAGCCAGCTGAACTCCAGGGAACTGTGAGCTATTGTCAGAAAATCATGCTAAGCAACCAGATACACTTGTTTAAAGATTTTTCTCTCCTTAGCCTACTTGATATATAAAAAAAGAGCAACTAACCAAAAGAACTTTGAAGACAGCAACATGTTTGAGCTGTCTTCAACCCATGTATTCCTTCCTGGCAAGTAACCAGGAAGGAATACACCTAGCATCATGACGGTGAGAACATTATAGAGACTATAATGAAAATCACATTTGTATTATGAATCAAAACCAAATTTCTAACCTGTGGATGTATCTGTCTCTTCAAATACAAAACATGAGGAGGCCCTGCATAACTATTAGTGTGTGCAATGCTTAAAAGCACCCTTATCTAATACAATTCTCTCCCATTGGACACTTGTTTCCCAGCTAAAAGGAAGATGGTTTGCATCACTTTGCAGAACTCAAACAAGGCACTGACAGATATGCAGTGTACATTTCCAATGTTATAAGTACCTTTGCTAAATGGGGACCTGTCATGTTAGCTGGTGTGTGAAATAGAGGACTACATCAAAACTCTGTCCTGCTCTTCTTGGACAGACATATTAGGTCTACTGTCCAGAATCTCCAGCCTTGTTTCTCCTTCCTTCCTCAGTCATGCTATAGAAGCACATGAACTCAAAAGAGCTTTTGGACGGGGTAAATTTATGGAATTTTAGTTTTCTAATCTACATTTCCTATGTATCACAAGTGAGATCAAGGCTGAGTCCAGTGTAACAGGATGAGCTGAGAATGGACACGATTCACGATTTATTAAGTGTCTTCTTACTGAGATTTTATCTTGTGTTTGTTCTTCTCATTGGCTCCTTACCAAAAAGGTTTTATTTCCTTGAGCTTGAAGACTCTCAGATCTACTGGTATCCAGGTCTTCTCTTCCTTTCCACAGTAAACAAAACAATGCCTAGTTTTATTGAAACCAACCCAGAGTAGTGTTTATTATTGAAAATATACAGTATTTCTGAACATTACATAAAAAGCCCAGTAAATACATCTGCTCTAATTCAAAATGCTGAATAGATCATCTCTGTGCAGCATGTAGCACTATAATGCAAACACTCTCTTCCTTGTTCTTTTTACAGTGCTTCCCTTTTATATTTTTTAAACACAGAAAACATGTTCAGCTGTCTGTCTCTACCTCAATCCTGGTAGGTGAAAACAAACAAAAACTTTCCAAAGGTTACTTACATTTTATCAAAAGTATGGGCATAAAAGGAATAAAGATATTTTATGGAGCTATTTAGAGATATTGCTGACTTTATTAAAATTTTGTTTATGAACAGGGCATGGTTCTTGCAAGGCAAAGTGCTCTTTTTTGCACAGTCCAGTGATGCCCTGCTCAACTCCCAGTCTACCAAAAGAAGAAAGGGGGAAAGTAAATAAATTTGGATTCCCCACACTATCTCTCAGATCCTCTTTTTCTTGCTGTCACATGTTCTCAAAGGCCAGTTCTGCAAAGAAGGAACTTTTACAAAGAATCAAGAAGATAGACTATTTACAAACCTAACTGTTGAAATCACTGGGAGCCAATGTACAGGATGAGATGGGCAGTATGATAAAAATAGTCTTTGTTCACCACAATACATGAAGGAAAAAGAACAAAAAAAGAGAAAAAATCGATTGTTCCTGGCACTGTGCTGTTTCAGATTTTGTACTGTGAACTTTCACAAGATACAATCAGTGCTGAATCTCTTTCTTCTTTGAATCTGCTGCCCCACCATCCATTCCAGTATGCTTTTGTCTGGTTGCCTTAAAGCAGCATCATGAGTATGAGGAATGAGAGTCCACAAAATATGACGGGCATCTCATTGCGGAAGAGCACAGTGCAGAAGAAAATACGAAGAAAAGGGTTTGAGGAGAGTGAAGAAAGGAGAACCCTGAAGGCCACCGGGTGGTGCATGTATGTGTGGGGCATATCACACGGCTGCTGTCTGTTTGATGCTATGGAAGCTGATTCGTGTTGGGGATGTGGGGATAGACATGGCACGTGCCACACGGACCCGGAGGGAGTGGTGGTCTTGCCAACGGTGCCATCTTTTCCTGGCAGCAGAACGAACCTGGTGAGAGAAAAAGGAAAGGATTTAAATATCTAGATTACTCAGATGTCCTCTTTTCAAGTGACGTTAGACCACATTTAAACAAATGATAGCAGGTGCAAGCCACTGAAAGACACGGGTCTTGATTCAAATGTCTAAGTAGGGGTACTCAGTCCTATTGATATTCTCTTGGGTACTGCACCCTGAGAGAGGAATAGGCTTCCCATATATCTCCCAAATATCTGCCTCATATCTGCAACCTCATGTAGATGTCCTAAATACCCTAGGTTATTTCAAATAGCAATAATCACCTTAGCTTAGGCAATCAAGCCCTCAAGGGGCATCTATGTGATGGATTTTTTGGATAGACTTTTTTTAGGTGCTGTATTTGCTCACACTTCCCTTTACAAGGAATTGAATAATCATAAATCATCTAACTAAACATTGGTATCTACAACGCAGGAAAAAACACCTAATTTTTGTAGGCTGCCTGTATAGGCAGTGGAGAGTTGTTCTGTACAATCAATGGAAAGTCGTCCCCAAGAGATGATTAAAACAGATAAATGATGAATTAAAAGTGTCTATTTTATTGTATGGACTAGAGAGGAAGCCCAGGTGCTATTGCTCAATTGTGTAGAGCAAACAAGGTAGTGAAAAGCAGGGGATAGGAACGTACCCTCAAACACAGCAGGAGGGAAGGATATGGATACCCTTAAAATAGACTGTACCTTCTTCCTGCCCAACCACTAGCAGGGAAGACCCAGAATAATAATCTGGAATGAAATTTAACATCTTTTAGATCAGTTTCTGAGTATACCTGGTGATCTCAACTAACTGTGGAGATTTGAGAGTTATTCAGACCTTTTACCTGAACAGCAAGGTAAGTAGACAAAATTAGATTAAATGAATTTGGGCCCAGCTTCTTGGACAATCAATCACGAACTATAACCATGACACTTGAGTAGGATATTGACATTCAGCTGTCAACATTAAATCCAGTCAAATTAAAAAGCAGAGCATTTTAATATTCCAGCGTCTATATCAAGTCAGGGACTCCTAAAAACACACCTTTGAGAAGGTGGTGTCATGAATAATACAATGTAGATATTACTTTTAAACTAGTGACCCATATTTCATTTTATAACTAACAAAGAACCAGTCAGTTCAGTCAAAGGGTATGACTCATCTTCTCCTAAAGCAGATGTCCAAACCAAGCCAGATTCTGTGGTCTGATGAAGAATACAACTTGCTTAGCTTTACATGTCTGGATTATAAATTTAGCTAAATTTAGGTGATATTGATACCTTGAATATTTTTCAATCCTTAATGCAATTATCTTCATTGCAAGGGAAGGGAGTGTTCTTATCCCCATTTTACCAACTGCTTGCTGAACCTTGGGTATTAATAGCAGTGATGTTGTTGTAGAGTAGATCTCAACATGGATCAGCTGCCATGGCAACTGTACAAGGCCAGGGCTGAGCTTGCAGAGCCTGTGCAAAACCCATGCTGACACAGCTTCTCAGTTATCAGCACCTGAGTAAGGCACAACAAAGCCATCGTGGGTGTATCTTTATCACCACCAGAACTTCAGGAAAGATGATAACATTGAAATAAGCTCTCCACAGCTGCACAGCCATTAGCTTTCTTTGGAGGCTTGGGCTCTGCCTTTGGGTGCAGAGTGAAGCCTGCTCAAAACACAAGGAGCACATACTTGAGGAACCAATCCCTGCTTCAGACCAGCTCTAACACACTGTATATAGGGGTGCTTAAACACATCGTGTTGACAAGCTCAAATAGAAAAGATGCATATCCCATATTGTTAG